CCACCACTCAATAGCATCAATACAGTGTAACAAATCCCTCATGTCATTACTGGGTACAAACTGGTCTTCACATTGACCTACCTGGGTGCAGTGACTACATTTCAAATTTAATTTAGAGGCTGGGAAACTTTTCGCAATGTCCTGACCGTATGGCTATTGATCCAAATCTCTTTATAACTGGAAAGTTCAGTGGTGGGAAGGAAGGCAGGAACAGGGATGATGTCTTCCATTCCAAACTTAATAGTTAAATGTTACATTTACAATTTTTTCCCCGTAAAATGCACAGTGGCACATGTGGTTTACCTACGAGATGCACTACAGCAATCAAGTCTCCTTTGACAGCATCTCCCAAACCTGCATCTCCACATAGAAGGATAAGGACAGTATACACACGGAACTGCCATCATCACTAAGCCGACCCTGTCCTGTCTTGGAGCTACTTCACCACTCCTTCATTATTGATTGGTCAAAGTCTTGGAATCTCATCCCTTACAGCACTGTGGCTCTACCCTCACCACATACACTGCAGCTCACCATCACCTTCTCAGGAAATAATCAGGAATATATTATAAATTCTGGTCTTGCCAACCACCCACATCCAAAGAATAAATTCTAAAAAACAGAATAACCCTTGCTGACAACTGAGATGATCTTGCTTCTCCAGGTTTGATAGCCTGGTGAATAATACACAATGTAAAAGATATAAATTCTCTGCCACCTCTTCTGAAACATACTTACTAGCTAATGAGCACTTAAATAAATTATTTCACTTGCTGATGTCTAAGCTAAAGGAAACTTTTTCTTTAGAGCCTGTTATGCTTTTGAGGTAAGCATGTGTCCTGGAGCAGACTCGATCAACGGCTGTGAAGGAACAGTATATTACGAAGACCCAGAGGACATAATTTATCTCCCACAAGTGAACTGACCGGATGCCTCATGATCATTGAAGTTGTGAGAGAGTTACAGTTGGAGCCACAAAGAATATGAATCACATCCCAGAGGCCTTCATAATACATTCTATTTTACCATATTAATTTTTAAACATCTGTTAAATTGATGGTTGTGTTTTGCTGGAACACTCTGATCCTTAACAAATTGGTTCCAGTGCAGCTAGAAATGCAAGTGCTGACTAGTCTATGACTCCCCTGTAGTGTGTGTTAATCAGACTGTGATTACTGTGTAGTGTGGGCGGCATGGTTAGCACTGCTGCCTCACAGTACTAGGGACCAGGTCTGGGTGGGATGTTCTTCGGAGGGTCAGTGCAGACTCGATGGGCTGAATGGCCTCTTTCTGCACTGTAGGAATCACTCTATGATCAGACATTGATTCACCTGTGGCAAGGATATTGATCAGATCATAACAGGACAATTAAATGAGAATAGTCCAGGGCAGCATAAATGTCAGGAGTACAGAAATTGCATTATTAAAAGCTTGTGTGCAACTTGTTTGATCTGGTACATCAGTGATCTACAAAGTATCCAGGACTATTATCTACAAGACACAGAGTAATAATTTCAGGATTATTCTATTGCCATGTATAGGAATGAAGCAGATGGTGTAACTGAAAAGATGGAATAGAACGGAGACATGAATCAGACCAGGCACTAGCAGAAAAGTGCAACAAAGTCTAGAAAGGACAAACAGCAGAAATGTCCAGAGAAAAATAGAGAATGCTAAATGCTGACGCCACATATTATGATTTACAGCAGGGCGACTGTTGGAACTAGTAAACGTGTTCAAGACAAGGATACAATCACACAAAGGAATAATAGTTAAACAAGAGTCCTCAAAAGTTCTATATATCAATGCCAGGGTGCTCCAGTTTCTTCCAACAGTCCAAAGATGTGCAAGCATGGTGGACTGGTCGTGCTAAATTGCGTTTAGTGTTCAGGGACGTGTAGCTTAGGTGTGTTAACCATGGGAAATGTAGGGCTACAGGGAAAGGATAGGGAAATGGGTCTGGGTGGGATGCCCTTCCGATGATCGGTGTGAACTTGTTGGGTCAAAGTGCCTGTTTCCACACTGTAGGGATTCTATGATATGATTTCTATTCTATAATTCTATGGAAACGAAGGATCAAGGGCATTCTCCAAGGAGGTAGTTATATAATACAGGCATCAGAGAACTAGCTCAATGAACAATGCACTAGATATACAATGTTACACACCATACAGAGTAATTCAAATCTTAGTAGAGACAAGGGAAGGTGAGAACTTTGTTATAAGAGAGATGGTTGAGGTTTGAATGGATTTTCATCAGAGAAGACATTTGACAGGAAGGAAAAACTGAACACCTATTCTATGGCATCAAGTAAGGAAAGAAGATTGGACAAAGAACCTTTGTGAGGAAAGCATGCACAGGAACAGATGCAGATATTATGGAGAAGTTCACATGAATACGAATAGATTGGACATTCTATAAGGTGTAATAAGCAATGAAGTATTATTCTGGGAACAACATTAATTACATTATGGCAATTTATCACACTTTGATTAGATTTGCAGATGGTACAATTAACCCAGAGTTTTTAAATCCCAATCATCATAGTAATTATGGAGTTAATGTGATTCAGCATCCCTGGACACTGTTTTACCTTTCACTCAATGTTTGATCCATTCCTGCCTGGAGAAGATACGTCATTGTTAGTTGCAGACATGCACATTCACTTGCCAATGTAAGGAAGAGTAACTTTAAAAAACAAAACCAAATATTGAAAGAGGAGAAATCTAAAAGAAACAACCAGAAAATGAAGCATCCGCCTAGGTTAATTCGTATTAGTGAAGTTGGCTGTAGAATACATATCACCAACACATTGGCACACTTTCCCTCTTCTCGTTCAAATAATACTGCTTTATTCCTTGTCATAAAAGAACAAGTATCATGACTCTGAAGTTAAACTAATGTGGCAGGGGAGGGAAGAAAAGAGAGGACGCAACTAGCACAAAGTAAGATTTAGATGTTCAGATTAAACATTCAAAATAGGACCAAACATGAAAAAATGTAACATTTGCAAACTAAGCTGGGAAGCAAGTGAATAGAAATGTGAAAAAATAAATTTTCAGTTTCGATATTTTGTACTCAAGTTTCTGGAGTGGGTTTTGAACCTTCAACCTAGGGAGTACTACCAACAGAGCCACCACACATGACACCAGATGTTGTTCCTGGCACTCACTGCAGTATATTCATACTGCATTACTAATAGGTGCCTTTGGAAAGACAGCAAATATAGATGGTAGGACCTGAATGTTAATACGGTCACAAAATTTTACAGCGCACAAAGAGGTGCTTTCGCTCATCATGTACTTATCACCACTCCCCTTCATAGAAGGATCAGTGACCAAAGCTATGGGCCAAGTGCTGGAAAATGAGATTAGATTAGTTCGGTCGTTGCTTTTGTCTGGTGCAGACTCAATGAGACTTCTTTTGTGCTGTAGACCTCTGTAACTATGAGTCTATGACTACTATAGTCTCATTCTCCAGCACTTGGCAGGTAGCCTTGTACTTCAAGTAATCATCTAAATATTTCTTAAATGTTGAGATACCTCCCACTTCTAGTACACTCTACCCTCCCTTTGAGTGAGTAGTAACACCACTGTCAGGCAATGAGTTAGAGGCAGAGTAAGATTTAGGGAAGGGGTCACAGTAAACATTTTTTAACAAAAAACATATTACAGTATAAATTTAAACAGTTTCTACAGACTGCAACAGCCAGTCAGTCTCCAGTTGAAAGCAGGGTTGTTTCTTCAGCAAAAGCTGTGTCATGTTATAAATTTTATAGAGGTAGAATCAATCCCAGTCACTAGCAGCATATCATTTTTGACTTAAATATTTCGAGAATGGAAGACATGTTGCCAAAGCTTTTCACATTGCACGCATCAGGACAAACAGAAGACTGTCAAATTTCAAACAAACATAACACTTTATACTGCAGAGGAAAAGAATGCCGACTGTATGGCAAGCAGCTTTCAAATGACCAGGATGTCATCATCGAGAAAGCAAGAGCAAGTCAAAAAGGTGGAAGGCTTGAACAAATTACGTTTGCAGAGAACAGGTTAATCATACAAATGTCTGTCACTTCTGTCAAGTTTATATGTGCCATGTTATGAGCTTGATTATCTTAAAATAATTGTTACTGCAGCTATTAACACACACAGGATTATTCAGTAAGTAATACTCAATCACAGAAACACATCTGACAGTAGACATTTTGTTTTGAACATCGCCTCCGAATCACCTCTGATCCAAGGCCAACAACTCCTTCAGGGAACTGAAGGCCCTTATCCCTGGTATCACATCTGCTTTAATTTCCCACTTCCAGCACAATTTGGGATGCCAGTTTAATAAAAATAGCACAGGGAAACTATATTCAGTTCAACAGAGACAGATCAGGGATGGGGGCAAATCAACTCTCAGGTGGCAGATCTATCCTGGAACTTTTTTTTTTAAAACCAGGCCGCATGCTTCCATTTAAACTCATTTGATTTGCGATACTTGTCACCAAAACATGGCAAGATGGGCTGGATTCATGTGCCAAATGCCTTTATTGCACTACCTGTGCGGCAGAAGCAAGAATGCATCCAAAGCGTAAATACCCCTAAACATGCTGGCCGCTCAACCAGTCACATTCCCTGCACCCTCGGTATTGGAGTTAGCTGCTACTCAGCTACTTTGCAGCCTGATGGGCAAGCAGCCTGTCATCTTGCCCATTGAGAAAACTTTAAACAAGCCCAGCCATTAACTTCAGTAAGGTATCGTGGGGAGATCCTTCAATTCTGGTCACGCAATGAGTGACCAACTTACAGAACAACCAACCAGACGGAGTAGGTGAGGTGACTATACTCAACCAATTTAAGTACAAAATGAGCACAATAAAGAAGAACAGTTGGAATTCTCTGGGCAGATGTGTTGATTTAAATGATCTTCTGCATGGCATGATCTTCTGAGCAAGCACAGACAAGGTTAGTGAATGGAAATAAAAGGAAGTTCAACTACACAAACAATGCACAAAATTTAACTTTATTTTTTTTCCCTTTTTTTTGGTCTGTTTCTCCATTTGGCAAAGCGAAACTGAAATAAATTCCTCTCAGTTCTTTGTTACAATGTTAAAGAACCCAGACTTGGCAGCAGTGACAGTGTCTCCGACTTGCAGTAGTGGTGTTCCCCTCAGCCTTTCCCTCCCTTGCTTCAACAGCCTGGGCAGTGTTTTGTTCTACACTGACAGATCCTGGAAAGGGGTGTGTGGGCAGGGTAAGAGAGAGTTGAGTCTGTTTTCTGTGAACCATTTGTGTCAGATTCGGGTCAGCAGGTGCCAGAAGCTAGAGGGTAAGACACTCTCAATCTTCTCCATCACAAAGTTGAAGGGTGCAAACAGCGTGCTGAAGAACTGCAAGACATTAAACAGCAAGGAAGTGAGTTAGAGGCATGCTTTTTTCACTGAGTAACATACAGGAGCTTCATTACAAATCCACAATTTTCCTCTCCCAAAGGTATATCCCTCAAAACCTTCCAGGAAAATGCATTGTTTTATTTGTAAAACTATTTGATTCCTGTTTTGTCTACTGACACTGTGCCTGTGCTGCCCTGGAATAAAGTAACGAGATAATTAGAATGTAGTAAAGACAACTGCAGTCTGGATACAGTCAGCAAATGAAGGTTAATACAGCACTATCGCTCTGTTCATCTATATATTAGCAAACAAAAGAATTTCAAGCATTATTCTGGGTTTTTTTTCCAAGTTATGAAAATAATGTTAGTCAGGAACCAACAGTTACTCTGCTCAATATCACATTCTTCTTTTCTTTGTACTAAGACATCCACAGCAGGAGATTTAAATGATTCCAAGGCTGTTTGAGACAGCTGCATTCTACGGCAGCAGCAGGTGAAACCCTACATTTCTAAGTGAACGTGTTTTATCTTCTGAGCTACAGATTAAAGTAAAGTCATTCGGCCATTCTTGAACGCTTGAAAGCCAGAATTGACAACACACACAGGTCAGCTTTGGCAGAAGGTCTTCTTAGAACCTAGCTGTTTTGATAAAAGAACAAATTTACTTTCCTTGAAATATTTTAACAGCTTATAGAATCATGCAAATAAGAACAGCCAACATTAACAGGCAATTCAAGATTAACTTTCTGCCCTTGATGTCAACTTTGGTCAGGTGGTGGTGATAGGTTTGTCAGAGTCAGAAAGCAGAGGGTTCTGATCCTGCATCAGTACACATGTCTCAGCTGATGTTCCCAATGCAGTACCAAGGGAGTACTGAACATTTTCCTCAGAAAGTAAGCGTCCCAAACTTTTACTCAAAGAAACATTTCGGACTATTTCACTGCTTAAGGCTTGCAGCAAATAGTTCATTGAAGTTGACAACTGACCCCAGATTTTCGATCACAAGTGTGAGTCCTTTATGATTTTTGTGGTAATTCTTTAACATCATAGAATCATAGAATCCCTACAGTGTGGAAACAGGCCCTTCAGCCCAACAAGTCCACACCGACCCATCCCCTTTAACCCCCCCCAAATCTTGACATCCCTTGAACACTATGGGCAATTTAGCATGGCCAATCCACCTAATCTGCACATCTTTGGACTGTGGGAGGAAACCGGAGCACCCGGAGGAAACCCACACAGACACGGGGAGAATGTGCAAACTCCACACAGACAGTTGCCCGAGGGTGGAATCTAATCCGGGTCCCTGGCGCTGTGAGGCAGCAGTGCTAATCACTGAGCCACCGTACCTCATTTTAATGAGGATTTCTTAGACCAACCATAACTTTGACTTTAATTAAAAATAACTAGAGCAGGCTGCTTACACACAATATACCACACAGAAACAGGCCATTTGACCCAACTAGTCTGTGTTGGTGTCTATACTCTGTGCAAACTTCTGCCCCATTCCATGTACATCATCTCCACTTTCCAATATTCCTTTTTTCTCATATACTCATTTAATGTCCTTTGACAAAGTTAAAGCTATTTCCCTCAACTATTATTTGTGGTAGTGAGTTCTTAGCTACTAGATATTCTTCAGAGTAAAGAAATTTCTCCCATTCTCCTGTTGATTTATTAACAATTACTTGTCATTTGGTATTACAGAGGTAAGATCTTTGCTTAAGTGTTGGTTTTTGCCTTGAATTGGCATTCTTGCGAATTGCTCTGTCAAGTACAAGACAAAAAGCTTCAACAAACTTGTCCTTTACAGCAATACTCAACTACTTGCATTGACACAACATAGCATCTGTAAACAAAAACAAAGTTGCTGGAAAAGCCCAACAGGTCTGGCAGCATCTGTGAAGGAAAAAACAGAGTTAACGTTTCGGGTCCGGTGATCCTTCCTCAGAACTGCTTTTGTAATAGCATCTGTAAATGCTGGCTGCAAAGGGACTCCATTGAGAGTTGTCCAGGATCAGAATGGGAAGTTTAAAATAAAAATTTCATTTACATACACAAACACCAAAATGATTTGTTGCTTGGTAGCACAGAATTTGAGCAATCCTGATTTTAAAAAAGACACGCAGAAGCCTCTTACTTACATTTGTCAGAACAGAATCACAAGTATGCTAAATTTCAAACAGCACAACAATTTATATTGCGTGAGAAGAGAGTGGTGATTGGTTGGGAAGTGGTCTCTGATTAGTTGTGTTATTGCCACTGAGATTGCAAGAAGGAACAGTTAATCACTAAGGTTTTGTTTAGTGAAAGGAGGAGCAATGCACAGGCTTGTTTGTTCATTTTGCAAATGATAGGACACTGCACATGAATGCTTTAAACAAGTGAAGAAAACAATAGGCTTCCAATTCTACTTTATCTGGACTCAAATGGGGAGCAAACTACAGGTCTAGATTTCTAGATGATCTTGAAATTAAATAGTAAGCAGATTGTTAAAGAGTCCAGGAAGACTCAACAGATCAGCAGAAAGGACAGATAAGTGACAGGTACAATTAAAGTGAATAAATGTGAAGTAATACATTTTAGAAAGAAAATCAGAGAATGGGAAGATATACTTAAGGGGAAGGTGCTGAGAAAGGTGTACATGAACAAACAGGTCTATGGATTCAAATATATAATCAAACAGCAAGCAAAGGAAGATGAAGACATAGCGTCTTGAACTACATAAATGGCACATGAAATTCAAGTGTAAAGTAGCACTGATGAAACTTACAAAACATTGGCTCATTAAAAGTCAATGGGCATGGTATAAAATAGGCTGTTAAATATTAGGAACTCATTTCATGCTAAAATTTCAGACAAAAATCACCACTTATACATCAGGAGTGTGTTTTTTTTTATTTTAAGGCTAAATTGCTTTGCTATGGAAAGCAGCTCATGTAGAGGCCAATGTATCTGGTAAGGAAAATGTAGATAAATATTTTCAAAGGAAGAGCATGGGACAGTACAATTAATTTTGGATTGCAGCACTTCATTTCTACTGAAATATTTTAGTAGAAACAAAGACAATTTCCTTTAGTAAGCTGAAGCATAAGTAATGGGTTTGATTTGAGGCAGTTATCTTCTGACCTTGATAGGTTGTGAATCACAGTGATATGTGATCATCATCTTAAGCTAAACTACTGTCTTGCCTTAGAATTGACTCCTTGCAATCTTGATGACTTTACAGCTGAAATCAATGCCAAATAAATTCTAGCTTCACACGGAGGCACATCATAAAATAGTGAAAAGGGTCGCATCACAGTTAGTAGAATCATGCACAAGAATTTTTGGCCCATTGTGTCTGCACTGGCTCTTCGGAAGAGACCCCCAATTAGTTCCTTCCCTTTGCTCTTTCCCTATAGATCTGCAGTTTCTTCCCACTCAAAATATTCCTTTCAATGGGTGGCACTGGCCAGACCAGGGTAGCTAGGCTACCCCTAACTACCCTGGAGAAAGTGGTGGCGAGCTACTTTCTTGAACTACTGCAATTCATGTGAAATAGGGACACCCACACTGCTGTTAGAAAGGGAGTTCCAGGATTTGGAAGGAACAGAGATATAGTTCCAAGTCAGGAGGGTGTGTGACTTGAAGGGAGACTTAGTGGTGGTGTTCCATGTATTTGCTGCCCTTGTGCTTCTAATGGTAGAGATTATGTATTTGAAAGGTTCTACGAAGGAGCTTTGGCAAATTGCTACCGGGTATCTTGTAGATGGCACATACTGCTGCCACTGTGCACTGGTGAAGGGATGTTACATGGGATGCCTAATAAGACAGGTGCTCTGTCTCGGATGGTGTCAAACTTCGAGTGTTACTGGAGCTGCATCCGTTCAGGCAAGTGCAGTCTTTCCCATCAAACTCCTGACTTGTGCCTTGTAGGTCGTAGGGAGTCAGGTGGTGAGTTCCTCAAGCCCCTTTTCAAAACTATTATTAAATCCATTTCCACCTCCCTTTCAAGCACTGCATACCACATTGTACAACATGCCTTGTTAAATAAATAATCATCTCCCCCAGGATATTTGCCTATCACTTTAAATCTGCGTTCTCTGGTTTCAGGCCTTATTGTTATTGGAAACAGCTCCTTCCTTCTTGATCAAGAAAAAAAAAAATCATGATTTCAAGTGGTCACTGAATCTTTGGTTTCTAAAAAGAACAATGCCAGCTTCTCTCGTGACTTCAAGTACTGAAGTCCCTCATTCTTGGTACCTTTCAGGTAAATCTCCTCAGCACCTTTCTATGGCTTTGGCATTGCTTCCCAAGGTGTGGTACCCAGAAATGGACACAAAACTCAAGCTGGGGCAGTCTAAACCAGTGATTTACAAAGGTTCAGTATTTCAACCTTTGCAGTTGTTCATTTGGAAACATCTATATCCAACAATGATTTTCAAAATCCTGGAAAGAGATTTCGACTGCTAAATGTGATCTGTAGGAGCTTTGCTCCAATTTAAAATAGTTTCAGGATTTTAAACAGAGTGGAACTTCTATATGCTGTCTCTACATAATTAAATGCTTAGTTATATGTTATTATAAACCAGATATGATGAAACGGTTCAATAAGAAATTGATGAAAAGATGTTTTCATTTGCATGGAGTCCAAAATTAGGTGCCACAGATTAGATCACTGATGAATTCAAACAGGAATTCAGGAAAAAATGTCTCTACCCAGAAATGAGGTTGGGAAACTTGTTACAAAAAGTGTAAGGACATAGAAGTAGAAGCTGACCACTCATCTCAATACCACTTTCCTTGGCTACCCGTATCCAGAAATCTATCAATGTATATCCTGAACATAGTCAGTAATTGAGTTTCCATAAGCAACGCAGAGGTGTGTAGTTTAGATGCTTTTAAGGAAAGTTAAATGAACGTGAGGAAGAAAGGAATAGCATAGGCTGAGACACGGAAGTATGGGAGGAGGCAACGTGTGGAGTACAGACCAGTAACATTCCTCCTAAGCTAGCC